TATATATATATATATAGAAAGAGAGAGAGAGAGAGAGGGAGGGAGAGAGAGAAAAGAGCAACTCATGGCTCCTTACATGTTAACAAAGCAAAAGGGAGTACAAAAGGAGTGGGGGAAGGAAATTCCCCTTCAAAACAAAAGAAAATACAAAAGGGGTCATATATATATATATATATCAAAAACCAAAAGAAAGAAATCATTGATTACAAAATTCTGCAGAAAGGCAGATTAATAAGATCTCCCTTGAGAAGGAAAAGAAGGGGGGGAACATCCTTAGTAATGTTGGGTCTATCTGCCCCTACACCAGCACGAGCAAGCCAATGAGCAGGTTTGTTTCCTTCTCTATGAATAAAGAAAAAATTCAGATTAATGCCTTGGGAGCTATAGAATTCTTGAACACTCCACCAATGCCCGCAGTGGATCTATAAAAACTGCCATCAGTGTTAGCTTTCAGCCAACCAGAATGAAGTTTGAGCCAATACACTAGGGGGAGCTCCAAAATAAGTTGACTAGCTAAAAAGTTAGTCATATGAAGATCAGGAAAGGCCTTCCAGTGAGTAATTTTTTTTAAAAATGCTAAACAGTTAGTTGCCACCATAGAGGAAAGGGGTAGATGTTCCTCAAATTTGGCCTTATTTCTAGCCATCCAAGAGAACCAAGCCACCACACAAGGGATGACCAAAAGTTTTAATTGAAGCCACTCTTTCTAGAAATAAATGAATTTTTGCCATGTAAGATTGATGGTTTGCACTTTTAAATTTCTAAGAACAATAGAATAGACTTGTTGGACAAACTGGCATTGAAAAAAAAAATGATAAGTAGTTTCCTCATGACTTTCACAAAAATTACAGCAGGAAGGGCCTCTCAAACCCTTCAATTTCAGAATATCATCAGTTGGGAGGCATTTAGAGAAGATTCTCCAATAGCAGAAAGACATTGAGGGGGAGAGGAACTTATTCCAAATAGGTTTCCCCCAGAGAAAGCTCACCCCATGTGATTGTTGTGAATTTATATAAGCAGTAATAAATTGGGAAACCCCTTGCATGGAAATGAGTTTATCATTCTTAGATATGTCCACAGGGTTGTTGTTAATCCTATAAATGGTAGAGTTATCCAGTATGTTGTTTAATGCAGTGAGATTCCACTGACCTTCATTCCAGCAATCTAATACTGCAATCTTCCAGCAATCTAATACTTTGGTAGAAGTTGGAAAGGGAACAAAAATCTTACCACAGAGCTTCCCATCCCCCATCCAGTTATCAAGCCAAAAGTTTAAATTCCCCTCTCCAAGATCCCATATAAAATAATCCTCAGCTTTATCATTACTTTTTATCATTTGGGACTAGATTCTGGAGACTCCCAGTTTAGATGTAGCAAGAGAGGGATGTGAACCTCTACAATACTTGCCTTTGAGAAAAATAGCCCAAAGGGACTCTTGAGCTCTGAAATGAATCCACAACTTGCAGAAATTGATTTGATGTAGATGCTTGAAGCTCCTGAACCCAAGACCCCCATTATGAATTGGTTTGCAAATAGTGTTCCAATTGGTCTAATGTTTTTGATTTCTTTGATCAGACTAAATAAATCTGTTGAAAGTTTTCTCAAGAAGCTGCTGAGTGCTCTTTTTCGTAGTTGCCATTTGGAGGATGTAGGAGGGGAAAGCTGACAAGACATGTTTTAGGAGGGTAATCCTTCCTCCATTTGAAAGAAATGAGTTAGTCTAGTTTGTGAGCTTAGATTGGATCTTGGTAACCACCTTATCAAATTGGTTTTGTCTGGTCCTACCCTTCAGCAAATGAACCCTCAAATATTTCAGGTGAGAGTGAGGAGTTTGAAAGCCAGTATGATCAGAAACCCTTTGTGTAAAAGGTTGTTGAACACCTTTGCTGAAATAAATACTGCATTTATGTTTGTTCAGCTGCAGTCCAGAGCACAACAGAAACTCATTGAGAATTTTTGGATTTGCCTAGCTGCATGTTTAGTCGCCTTTAAGAAAAGAATGACATCATCTGCATATGATAGATGGCTGATGGCAATGTTTGAGCTATGCTTGAAAAGGTTATGAGGGGATACATTTGGAATTTGGTTGAGAATAAGAGAAAGGTAGTCAAACACTAGAATACAAATAGTGGGTGAGAGAGGGTCACCTTGTTTGATTCCCCTAGTGGCTGTAAGGAAACCATGAGTCTTTCCATTGATGATAATAGAGTGAGCTTTGTTGTTCAGCCATCTCCTGATTAAGATTATGAAGTCCATATTAAAACCTCTAGCATGTAGAACCTCCTCAAAAAAATCTCAGTGAATGGTGTGATAAGCTTTGCAAATATCTAATTTGTAGATCATATTCCCTCCCCCTGCATCTTTTATCCAAGTCTTGGTATAATTCATGGGATAAAAGAACATTGTCCACAATGCTTCTTCCTTTGATAAAGGCAGTTTGATTGTTGTTGATGATCCTATTCAGGTGGGGTTGAATTCTGGCCACAAGGACCTTGCTAATGATTTTGGATATCACACTGGTGAGACTTATGGGTCTGAACTGATCCCATCTGTTGCAAACAGTCTCTTTGGTTATGAGGACAATAATGGAGGAAGTGAAGTATTTAATGGGTTCTTGTCCAGTGAAAAAGGCTTGCACAACATCAATATCGTCACTTTTGATGACATTCCAGGCAGTTTTGTAGAAATCAGCTGAAAAACCATCAAGACCTGCAGCTTTATTGCTATCAATTGAATTCAAGGTTGTCTTAATCTCCTCTTCAGAAGGAATATCAGCAAGTTTGAGGGTAGAGGTATAATGTCTGCAATGGTCAAACAGATTACCTTTAACTTCAGTCCTGACCACCTCACTCTTTGTGAAAAGCTTTTGGAAATGTTCAACAGCATTATCAATAATAGCTTGGGAAGTGTAGCCAGTCTTTGTGAGAATTTTTTATCTTATTAATCTCATTACATTTCCTCTTATGATTTATAATTGCATGGTAATACCTTGAGTTTCTGTCCCCCAATGATTTTGTGTTGCTTTCTGGTGAAGAAGTTGCTCCTGCAAATGGATAGCATTAAGTAAGCCTTCATTAGCATTATAAAGGTCAGTTTCGAAATTAGGATTTTGACTAAGCTTGTATTCCAAATCATTCACAATGGCCTCAGCTTCCACCACCCTAGTATTCAAATTGTCAAAAGTCTGCCAGTTCCAAGACGTGAGTTTAGCAGCAAGTTTCTTATGCAGAATCCATAATTTCACCCATGGGTTGTCATTATGATAGATGGCCCAAACAGAAGTAACTTGGTTCATAAAATCAGGATGAGATGACCAGACATTTAAATATATGAAATTTGCTTTGGTGGAGTTGATGGAGCTGTTAATGGAGATTAGAAGGGGTCTGTGATCATAACCAGTCATGGATAAATGGGAGACAGTTGTGTACAAAAAGTCATTTAGCCAGTGATCATTAGCAAGAGCTCTGTCTATTCTTTCCCAAACATTGCCTCTTCTCCAAGTGAATATGTGGCCAGAGAAACCCAAATCATAAAGTCTAGCCATATGCATATTATCTAAGAAAAAGCTCATTTTATTTATATCAAGAGGTCTGCCTCCTATTTTTTCATCAGGAGAAGTCATGCAGTTGAAGTCCCCACAAGCCAGCCACTTTGAGGAGATATTTAGGCTCAGATTAAGAAGTTCCTTCCAAAGTTCTACCCTCCCAGCAGAAGAAGTTGGGGCATAAACAAAAGTTGCTTGAGCAAAGTGGCCTGCCAAAGATAGTGATAAATGCAAAAACTGAGGGTGGTCTAAGATAATATGCCAAGTGACTTCTTTTCTGCAGAGAAGCCAAATTTTATTATTGCATCTAGGAGAAATATGAAAGCCAGGGAATTTTTTAATGATTCTATCTTGGTGCTTAGCGACCGTGGGTTCAAGAAGAGCAATACACTAGAGTTTTTGCATCCAATTTAAGTGCAGTAATCTGCTAAGGGACCTAGGATGTGCCAATCCCAACATTCCAGCAAAGGAGGTTAATCATTGAACATTTTTCCTCTCCTCCTTGTTCTAGGAAGAGATTCCAAACTTTTGGACATGTGTTCCCCAGAGGTAGCAGCATTTTGCTTCAGCTCTTGCAACAACTTCATTTTCTTTTTGGATTGATGGATCTGCCATTCTTACTCCAGGTCTATGTTCAACTATTGGACAACATTATCTTCCAAGACATTGATAGTAGGTGACTGCAATATAGGAAGATCTGTGTGGTCCCTGTTAGAAAGAGTCAATATTAAGACTTTCGGCATATCAGCTGATCCCAATTTAGAAATTACTCCAACAGGTGCTTCACATGGAGATGTGGGAACATCAATAGGGGTAAGGGGGAGCAAAGGGATCAGGTTAGTAGAAGGTTTAGAAGAACCTTCAACAGGGAAATTTAAAATAGATTTGGGACTAAGGGTTAAGAAATTTGAATCAGCTTGAAGATTGAGAGCATTGGGCTGGGAAGGGAAAAGAGGGGAAGGCAAATTTTTCAGGGGTTCCTTCAAGAGGGGCCTCAGATTGGATTTCCACCATGGGTGGGCAATCAACAATATCAAGTGTAGGGGAATTTAAAGGTGGTTTGGGATCATTATCAAGGTTTTGGGCCAAGGTTTTGGTGGGAGATTCAGGGTTCAAATGTAGTGAAGTAAATTGTTGTGTAGGGATAGGAGTGTGTCCAGAGACTGAATTCTTTTTCTTGGGATGCAATCTGAAACATCTGTTGTTAGTGTGCCCAAACCTCTTGCAATTATGGCAATAATAAGGCCTTTGCTCCATAACAATTTTCTGCCAATAACCATTGTTAGCAGTGCTCAACCATATGTCATCTATTTCAGGTTGAGTGATATCCCTTTCCACCAGGATTCTAGACACAGAAGGTCTTGAGAGGTTAAATGTAAGAGCATCAAGCTTCTTTTGTCTTCCAAGGGCAGTGCCAGTAGTAAACAGTACTTGGTGGGTGAAGAAAACTTGGTGGTTGAAGAAATGTAGCTTCAGCCTAGGAAGCTTGAACCAGATGATAACTATTTTGGGTTCCTTTGAGGGATCAAAATCAATAGTCCATTTAAGCAATTTCATAGAAATACCATCCAAAAATAGAACTTGTTTAGCAAAGAGCCTTGCATAATCCTCTTCCTTTGCTAATTGAATCATTATATGCCTTCCATCCATCAATCCAACCTTCCAAGCACTTACCAGTTTCAAATCATCAAAATATTTTCTAATTTCATCCATTTTTGGATGGCTGAACTGAAATTTTCCCGCCAGGGTAAATTTTTGAGCCTCAGCCAAAGAGCAAATTTCCTGGTCAGAGAAAATAGCAACCACTTTGCCTCCTTTTCCACATAAGGATTTGACA